AATTTGAGTTGAATTACTGAAATAAATGAACTTTTCCACGACATTCTAATTTATTGAGATGCACCTGTATTTGTTTATTTTTTCTTTGATTTGTTTCTGAAATGTTTGCTGAATTGTGGGCGGTCTTGCAGCTTTTGATGTGAAAGAGAAAAAAAGTAGAAAAATAAAGACTGACATCTTTATTTAACCTACAGTGCCTTGCGAAAGTATTTTTTTCACATTTTGTTATGTTGCTGCCTTATGTTAAACTGCGAGTAAAACTCAAGCACTGAGGTCAAAAGAACTGCCTGCAGAGCTCAGAAACAGGTTTGCGTCACGCCACACATCTGGGGAAGAGTTCAGAAAAAATTCTGCTGCATTGAAGGTTCATAGAAGCATGTAGTCTCTGTTACCCTTAATGGAAGACGTTTAAAACAACCAGGACTCTTCCTCGAGTTGGCCTTCTGGCCAAACTGAGCAATTGATGGAGAAGGGCTTTGGTTAGAGTGGTGACCAAGATGCTGATGGCCACTCTAGTTGAGCTCCATGAAGCAGCCTCATGCTGTGGGGTGTTTTTCAGCGGCAGGGACTGAGGGACTCATCAGAGTACAAGAAAAGCTCAGTGCACCAAAATATTGAGACAGCCTTAATGAAAACCTAGTCCAGACCATTCAGAAACTCAGACGGAGCAGAAGGTTCACCTTCCAACAGGACAACAACCCTAAACAGTAAGCACACAGCAAGAGTGGCTTATAGACAACTCTGTGAATGTCCTTGAGTGGCCCAGCTCCATCCTGCTGTAAAGGTGCTTTAGCTAAATATTTAGTTACTTATGCAATGTACTTATTTCAGTTTTTTTATTTTTAATACATTTAAGAAGTTGTTACAATTCTGTTTTTGCTTTGTCAGTATGGTGTATTGTGTGTAGATTGATGTGGAAAAAAGTAATTTAAAGCAGTTTAACATAAGGCAAATACGTAACAAAACGTGAAAAAAATTATATATATGAATACTTTCGCAAGGCACTGTACGTAGTTGTACGGGAAACGCACCACAGAACATGACAAATA